CCACCCCTTCACTCATAATCCCCTCAAATGGATCAAGGATGTCACTACTACAATAAGCCTTCTTCTAATCCTGTTGCTGCATTCTTTTACACGTAGTCCAGGTTCTCAAGATTATCTGCTCAGCATACCGATTGAACAGTATGGCGAAAGGATACAACCCTGTCGCACACCTTTCCTGACGTTAAACCTTGTTCTGTTTGAGTGACAGCCTCTTGCTCTAAGTTCTGCATGCGCACAGTGAAATGTTTGGGAATTCCCACTCTTTGCAAAATTATCCAGTTTCCTAAGTACACAGTCAAATGCTTTTGCAGTGAAATACAAGCAAACATCTTTTTGGTATTGTTTTCAGCGAGGGTCCATCTGTTATTCCTCATGCCATGTCTTCTTCTGAATCCAGCTTGGATTTCTGGCAGCTCGTGCACATACAATGGCTTTTGAATTATCTTCAACCAAGTGTTACTTGCATGTCATATTGATATTGTTAGAGAATTCCCACTGTTTGCTCTATCTCATTTAATCCAGTCTGTTTTATATCACTATTTTACATTTAAGAAAATGGAGGTTATAGGAGTGTTCCAAGAGGTTATAAAAAGGGAGAGCCAAACTCTGTCCCAATCAGTGGAGGTCATGAGGCATACACCCCTGCGCCTGTACACTAGGGACCTACTTCTGCATCATTCAAGATGGGACAGTAATTTGTATTTTTTCTGTTGCAATTACAAAGTGATTTTTAAAATATGGCTACAGAACACAGGCGCCTCTGTACCAGTCTATGAAGATGGAGCACAGGGTTAATCCAGCTGGGCACTGAGACAAGGAGCCGGATTTAGGGAGTTTTTAGGCTACAGTGATATTCTGCATGGACTCCAGTAGCACCATCAGAGGAAATGCTGCTTAGCAATGGTGCTCCTTCTCCAGGCACTTCACGAGCAAAGACTAAGGCAAAACCACTGGGTCCCATAGCTGTTTAATTATTTCAGCCGGCTTTTTTAGAATGTTAGTTGTGGAAGATAAAAAATACAGCTTAGTATTTGAACAACGTTCTGTTGTACTCTTTTCTCAGGCACTCGAAATAGAACTAACACCTTTTGTGGTTGGAACTATGGAATTTAAAAATAAAGCTACAGATATAAATGAAAAGAGCAAGAAATGTGAATTGATGTGCTTATTTTGGTAAAATGTTGCCACATTATTTCTGAAATATGGATACTAAAATTATTAAAACGGTCGGTAGAAAAACACCCCAAACCTGGAGCTGTGTACTGAAGTGACAATAAGCTGTCACGTAAGTGTCAAGGCTAATAAAAGACCTGAAACATGAGAAACATGTTCTGTTTTGTTGAAAGTCTCGCTAGGTCAGTTTTTGCATTGTGCCTACATTCAAGATAACACACTTCACCTTGAGAACCATGTTGGATTACGCCTGATATTAGTAACATGAATAATTTTAAGTATCTTTTAAAGAAATTTCTTTAAACCCAGGACAAAGCTGAGAAATCAGAAAGATGAAAAAGTTGGGTCTGAGCTTATGGCCAAAGATTATTTTCTGATGTGTGTAAATAAAACTCCATCTAGTGTGTAAAGTCTTTTAAAAACAGTCTTGGTACCTTCCAAGTATTATTGTAGAAGCACCTGCTTTATTAAAAATACCATGGTGAAAAAAAAATACTATGGTGTAAATCAGGCACACCTTGGCCCTCAATGTAGTATTTTTGCTTCACAACACTTTAAGTAGGCCTTATGCAGATTTACCTAATGCAATGCATCATTTGATCTTTTGACTGCTGCTTCCATGAGCAGTGACTGTGGATCCAACCAAGCAAGATGAAATCCTTTGGCAATTCCAATCTTTTCTGTTTATCATGTTACCTACTAGTCCAGTTGTTAAGATTTTGGTCTTGTTTACATCGAGTTGTAAACCATACAGAAGGCTGTGGTCTATGACCATCATTAACAAAGGCTTCAGGTCCTCATTTTTAGCAGGCAAGGACTGGGCAGCGTTTCATTCTGTGTCGCTGTGAGTGAGAACCAAGTTGATGGCGCCCAACCACCGCTGCCTGCTTCCTGTCTGGTGTTGCAGACTGGCTTAAGTATGAAATAGTGCGGAATATACAGAATAAGTAAAATAGTGTAAATTTGGTTGATTGAGGCAGTACACCAGGCAACTTCGACAAGCTCTGCTACATTTTTCATATATATATGTATGACTACATACATACATATGCATACAACACTTAACTATATATTTTGTTATGTAAAACAAATATACAAATTACAAAATAAAATTACATTTAAGGGCATTTTTCAAAGCTAAAGATTTGCTATATTCTACTTTTGAGAGGAAAATATTTAAACATTGATTGTCCACTATTAGAGGGGTGGGGGAATCAAGATTACTGTTAGAATCTCACAAATAATTTATGATTCAAATGATTAACCTAAATAAAAACCAAACCAAACACATTGCTATCCAACTGATTCTGACTCACAGCAACCCTATATAAAGTTTCCAAGGCTACAAATCTTTATGGTAACAGATAGACTCATCTTTCACCTGCAAAGCAGCTGGTGGGTTTGAGCCTTGTGATAAGCAGTTCAATGCTTCAACAGTGCTACAATGCTAAAACTAAATAATACATTTATTAGACTACTACCAGAGAAATGAAGTCCATTCTCTCCCAACACAGTACACCAACTACATGTTGATAAACATGTACAACTCTTAATTGGTTCAGTCATTTGACTTCTCTAAGATAAATAACAATACACTAAGCACATCTTGTCACACGACACAAGTCCAAACCAGAAACTTCTCTACTTTTCTGTAAGGCCAGACTTTTCTCATCTTACATTTTCACATCAGTTTAGAAGAAATCTACGTAGCACCTAAATATTAGGTGCTGTTGGGTCAGTTGACTTGCAGTGACCCTATATACAACAGAACCGAACCCTGCCCAGTCACGTGTGAGCTGACCAGTCATTGCTGTTGGGGCTCCGTGTCTTGACCCATCTTGCTGCAGTCTTTCTCGTTTTTTACCACTCTTACAGTTTCCCAGGCATGGTAACCAAAGTATGTGAGGGAAGTCCTCCATTCTTGCCTCTAGAAGATTCTGGCTGTCCTTCTGCAGAGATAGGCTTGTTCTTTAGGTAGTCTGGGAAGGAGAAGGGTGGCTTTTTCTTTGCTCTGTTAAATTGAGTCAACAGCTATACCCTGAAGCTTTTTCTCCTTACCAAGTTGGCTTTAGACTCACACATGCTATTCATTGTAGAGATACACCCAAGAACGTGTTCTTTACCTCCAGTCTGTTGCGGGATCGGTTTCGAGTTACCTTGTGACATACGTGGGTGCTCTGACCACACCATCAGTTAACAGCACGGAACGGGTGTGACAACAAGGGGTGCCACCAGCACATTAAGATTGTCAGGGAAAAAAGAGATGACATGCTTTATAGCAGCAGTATTTACTAGCTATTTGTTAGTTTAAACAAAGTGTGTTTGGCTTTAAGAATCATGAAAGATCCAACGGCAAATTAGGTTAAAATTATCAGGACCAGAGAAGATCAAATCATCTCTATGAGAATTACAGACGAAGAAACACTATAATTATAAAAATCTTACTTACAAAAGCTTTATTTACAAAGACTTTTTATTTAAAGCTTAAATTTGACCAGTGTTGTAGTCCACAGAGCAGCACATTTTCCTGTAAAGGGGCATATAGCAGATAATTTGGGCCACACAGTCTCCGTCTGGCACAACTCAGTACTGCTTTGTTGTATGAAAACATTGTATACAATCTATAAGGGGTATGTAGCTGTGTTCCAATACAACTTTGCCAAAACAGGTGGCAGGATTAACTGGATATAAGAGTTGGCCAATCTTTGTGTATTGTCTATTCTCACTGCATTGAGTCGATTCTGACTGACAGTGACCCTATAGGACATAGCCGAACAGCCTCCGATACTGTCATAAACTCTTTACTGGAGTAGAAAGCCTCACCTTTCTCCCTCGAAGCAGCTTTTGGTTTCAAACTGCTGACCTAGCAATTAGTAGCCCAATGTGTAACCCACTATGCCAGCAGGACTCCTACTATTAGTACTCCCCAATAAAAACAGGGGAATCACGTATGTAATGGAACTTTTCTCCAGAGGTTACATAATCAAAAGTAAAAATAGATGAAATTTATTTTAATATATTTTATTTAACCCAACATATCCAAAATGTTTTAACAAGTAATCGCTAAAAGCACTGTTTGATATTTTACTCTTTCGTGTTTTGTAGTAGGCTGTAGAAACATAACGATGTATTTTACGGTGAACCAGCCATGTTTCAGGTGTTCAGCAGACACAAGTGACAGTAGCTAGCATGCTCAATGGTGATGTCCTAGACTTCCCCGGGTGGGCTTTCTGAAACGCACCTGACGGTTCATGGCACAGTACTGAGGTCCGGTTCTTGAAAGATGGGGCCAAGGTGGAGCTGCTCCAGAGGAGCACAGGGCAAGAAACCGCAGCTGCGGGGAAGGAAAATGTTCATTTCACCTTGGTCACTTTAAACTGGGTTGGCCCAACATTCTAGGGCACACAACAAATCCAATGTCAAAGTATTTGATGTGAACCACAAAATGGTCACGGTGAATCTTTGGCTTTCAACAGAGAATGCTAACTGACATCAGCAAAACAACATATAGTTTTCAGCGTTTTGATTATATTGGAATTGAAAGCATATAATACAAGATTGGGTAGGTAAAATGAAGAACTTGTGCAGCAAAGATAAAGGCTTCAAAATTTGACTGAGTTGTAAAAGTGATGTAAAAAATATACGCTTCCTCGTACCTGCAAAGATCCTATGTAACAAGATCAATGCTAGTCAGCAATAGTTTAATGAGCTGCCAGAGGATAATCACCCACCTTCGTTTAACCCCCGGGAAGCAGTCAGTGGCTTCAACACAATGCTCTTAATGATTAAACCAACATTTCTGTTCTGTAATAAAACTTAGAGACAAATATTTTTAACAAAAAAATTTATTACCAAAATACAATATTAAAGTCAATACATGACAAACTCCTGTAAAGCAAAATAAATTATTCTAACATTGTACAGTTTCCCAAAGGTAGTTAGAGAAGCGCTAGAGACCTCGCTTCACTGCTTGTTCTGAACAGATAGCCCGTTCTACCATGAGCACAATCTAGGTTTGAGGCTTTAAGGCATGCAGCTTGATGTTCAGGACAATTGTACAGAATGCAAATCATCCTATTGCAATGAGATGCAATGTCAGAACTAACATGTCAGTGTTCCAGAACTTTTTATGCTTTGGCTATAGAAGCGATGCCATAGTGTTACACAATGCTTATTTCTTAAAAAAATACATGTATTCATGTCCATGGGTATCAAACTCAAACTCCTATTAAATATATTTTATGCAACATTACTTAGAGCACCTTGCTGTACAGTAAAAAATGAAAGGATTAAATAAGTATATATGAAAACTAAAATATAAGAGGTCTTAGTCGAGAGCCTGCTTGTCTTTGTTAAGCCAAGTACATTGTGGAAGGTACAATGGACACATGGATGGACACCGTTTGCTTGGTGGGAAAAAGACAAATACTTAAGGAGCCCACCGGCAGCTACCTTGAATAGGACAAAAGATTTCAAACAAAGGCTTCAGTTAGTGTCACTACACTGTACTTGCTGGTTTGGCCACAGAACTGACACGTTTACAGGTAAATGGAATACAGATACAGCTGGGACACTAAGGACCACCAAACATATTCTGAATTTTCAGAGAAAGGTAAAAAATGACAGTCCCTAAAAGTACTACTGATAATGATCAGAAGAATGATCCTCCTCCCCCTTGTTTATCTAGTAAGTTTCTTTCAAAAACCATTTTTATATCAGATATTAAAACTAGTAGGTGTCCAGAGCAGAAAAAACACACAAAACTATGAATATGAGTTTGTACGACAAAAGGTCTAGTACCAATACATAAAAATTTATTTCTATAATATGGGAGGGAGGGGGCCTACTGATTACGTATATCTCACCACAATTACAGTTGCATATTTAGTCTTCATTATTAATTTTAGAAATACTCAATTGTTCTTGGTCTAGACTATTAAGGCTTGCCAAGAGACAGTAAGGGGACAGCGTAGAAGAACCTTGCTCTGTGGCTCCTCCCACAGGCAGGAGAGAGTTACTGAGGGCATTTTAGGCTTGACACAGATGAAAATTTAAAGGCCTTGAACTTCGGGTTAAGCCTTTTCTCCATGAGCAAGGGACAATTTAAATCCATGATTTCAAAAGGAAATTTTAATAAGTCAATGGAAGTGCTTTAAGGAAATAACGAAATGGAATTAAAAAATTCACACTGTTGAAAATTTGGGGGGTGTTTTTCTGGCAGTTAATAGTTATCAGATGATTATAAGATTAAAGCTAAGGGGAAATTTATAAAACAAAATTCATCAAAGGTTGCCCATTTTCAGAAGAACAGTTTTTCACATAGCAATACTGAGTCACAATTAGTAGCAATGAAAAGTTTTACCTATAGAACAAGTGGCAACAATATGAACCTTTTATTTTATTTGAATTTGAAATGAAATAGATTTCAATTCTGAAAACAGGATAAAATTAATATAAACCCACACCCAATGGACTTGAGGCTAAATCATTTAGTATATAAATATTTATTTTATCTTTTTAAAAAACATAAAAAAGAATAATTCTTGTAAATAAATGCTACCTAAATTAATAAGCTTTAAATTATGATCCATTTCATTTAAATATCATCAGAATGAGATTAAAAAACAAACCAAGATGCCTAGGTGGGCCCACTAATACTATCTTAAAAATATTAATTTATTCAATTAATACCTGGACTTTGGGAACAGAATTCTTTTTCCTAAAATCAGGTCTGCAAAGCATCTTATTCAAAAATTACTTTCGATATTCTAAATGTACCAGAGTTGTGGCCTCAACTACAGGAGATGTCAGAATCAAGTTCAGAGATAGCACCGTGAGCTGGCGCACTGCTGGTACACCAGCCTTCAGACTTGTAAGCAGAACTTTCATTAACAAGATCATGCAGGCATAAACGATCAGAACTACAATATAAAACCCTGTTCTCCTCACTCAGAAATAAATGGTAACACAATGTGTAAGGAATGAGGGAAAGAGTGTCTCTACTTAATGGCAGGTTTTCATGGAAAAGCACTTTTTGTTGGTTTCAAGGTATCCTTATGGTCCTCTACCAAAACAGAGTTTTCTAAGTAGGAGTCTCGAGACTTGCCAAGTGCTGTGTCTGATTGTTACATATAACTAGGCTACCAAACTCCAGGCAGAACAATCTCAGTAGCAGTATTCATTTTAAGGATAAGGAATTTCAGCCATCACTCCCAAATTATTTTTTTGGTAGAGTTCCAGTTATTTTCAAGGTGTGACAGGGTATACATTTATTTTTTTGCTTCTTCAGTTAATAAGCTCAGACCAGTTTAGAAGAGAGGATTACGTTTAAATAGTCAAACATACATTTTGAATAGAACCTTTGAGAAGTGTGGTGCCTTCAGTGAAGCAGCATTTTTGAAGAAACCGGAGATTTAAGTTTGGTGGGGACTCACCTACCTAAATTTAAGTACAAACTAGCTTTGAACTCAGAGGGCTCTTTGTCCTTCTCTTTTTAAGGAATAGAGGGTCGTATGTTAGGGACTAAATATATGGTTAAAGCCTATCAATAGACGGCAACATTTAGGTAGACAATTTGGAAACCCTCTAAAAATCTGTGTATTCTTATCTGTAATACCACGAAAAAAACCAAACGCCAAGGTTAACCAAAACCAAACCAAACCACGAGGTCTGTCCTTGAGTTGCCTATCAAAATTGAGAAAGAAGAAAACCCACCTCTGTTTAAGATCGTGGTACTCTGATGAAAGTACGTTTTGAATAGTCCCTGCAAGGCCTGTTCTCCAATCTTTTACTTGCATGGCTACATATGCTACTTTTTAACAGTAAATACACTCATCATGAAGCAGAACTGACAGAGGGTTAATGCAGGATTACATTTTTGCTTCATCTTCCACCAACCCACTTCCTTTCACTCAAAAGATATACCACTTACCCATCAGGAATTCCTTTTCATGCATTACACATTTCTTTCCAAGGGCAGCTCTGTCAATCTCCTCAAAAACAAAAAAAAACAACAAAAAAAACCCACACCGTTTCTTCTTTGACCAGCCAATTACTTGCCATCAGCAGAGACAAACTGCTGTGTAGAGGAATCTTCTAGCTTTTCCCTCTTCATGAAATGATTCCACCTAATTCGTGTTCAGAGTTGCGCTGTGGTCCTTGTTTAGGATGATGTTTACAATTTCACCCTCGTGCTCTTTCATGTGATCCAAGAGGTTTTCTTTGCTGGTTGACTCAAAACCACAAATACAGCAACAGAAGAGTAAGACGCAGTACTCCATACCGGGAGGGGCCAGGCTGGAGCTTTTTTCTAAACGACATGAGGTATTACTTGTTGGGCTCAGTTTCTCACTCTCGATGGGGCCTACAGCTTCACTGGGAGCCTGGGAAGTCAGCTCCGAGGATGACACAAGCTTTTCTGAGCTCCCAGTGCTAGGATCGGTTCTCTCTTCACTGCTGTTTAATAGAGTCTTTCCAGGGGATTTCCCCAGAACTCTTAAAAACAAAACAGAACACACCAAACCTTGAGTTGGCTGTTAACGTAGGACTAATATATATAATCCCAGCTTTAATTTATACACCACAATAAAGGGAAGGGAGAGGAACAGATACCTGCCACTTTGTAAAATTGCATCATTGATAGCCTTGTTTACTTGTTCGTAGTTATAATTCTGGTCACTTGCATGTTTCCACATGTGAGACTTCAGAGAAGGAGGATGGCTGCATACATACCCACACAAAGAGCATCTGAAAGACAAGCGCATGGAGAATCAGTGGTCCTTTAATGTCACGTAAGAAAATGCTGACTCTCTAGTAATTACTACATTCCTTCTCCTGAAGACTTACTACACACAGGAGATTTCACGGAATGGTCGATGTCACTGATGGCAAGCTGTGGTCCTCTAACAGTTTGCATAAAAAGTTGTAAGACTTGGAGCTAAGATGGTGGGTGACTACCCATCTCTATGCCTTCCCTCTTCAACAAAGACCTGAGGAGCCAAGTGAAACAGATGAGGATGTTAATCCTGGAACCCTAAGCTTCAAACAAAAGGTTAAGGAAGTAGATCAAACACCAACTGGAAGAAACTGAACCAAAGCAGCAAACAAGGTGCTACACGGAGCAGAGGCGGCTTTCTATTCCAGCTCGTCCTGGTGCAGGTCACAGAATGCCCCGAAGACAGAGAAAGGGTGCCAACAAACGCAGTGAGGCAAGGTGAGCAGAATCCAAGCGAGGGCGAAGGGAGAGACTGGAGGAAAGTGGACTGAAGTCCAGGCAGCTCAGGCCACCACAGCAGGGAGGAAGCAGGGAAACTAGAATCACTCTAAGTGTGGCGCCTCATGAGACCCATGTGATGTGGAAGGTTGGACTCTGGGCAAGTCCACCCCCCCCCATCCCCCCACCCCCACCCCCGGCACTGGACTCAGAAAACTGGCTGTATTCACACAGGTATACACTAGTGACACTAGTGACCACGCTGTGACCTGCAATTGGAGAAACATTCTTGCCACCCTTGCCTCACACATTCTCTAGAGGCCAGAGGTGCAACACCTCCACCCTCCCACGTGGGGGCTGGTGACATTCTTCGCTGTCCCTCCCTCTTCTTTCTGGTGGTCTACCAGGTCCCCTCCCCCCTCTGCCAATGCCAGCACTCCATTTCCTGAGCAGCCTGGGTTCTCCATGGATTGAGCACACCCCTGCAGCTGACAGCTGTATGCCTGCCATGTCTGCCTCTGAAGTCGGGAGACGGGGGCTGCAGGACTGCCGCTTCCTTGGCTGGCAGCACACACTCCCCCGTGGATGAGCATCATGTGCTTGTACCCAGTTGCCACACTCCCGATCTCCACACCTCCCCATAGGTTGGTCCATGATGTGGGAGGCAGCTACTGTATCCACACTACCTAGATGCTCCTGCCTCCCCTCCCACCAGGTGGATGCCATTTCCTACTCTAACACCAGTGGACTGACCACAGGTGAAAGTCGACATCTGCCCAGTCTGCTCGCAACTGGTCTACATGACCGGTGAACAAAGACACACGCTCCTGCTTTCAAACCCACCTGGAAACAGGTGTTGAGTGCAATAGTGCTGCCCAACTGCTACCAGAGTAGCACATCTTTCTCCCAAGGGGCAGCTGGGGGAGCCAACCCTGCATTTCACAGCCCAAAGCCCAGGCTACAGTGCCACCAGGGCTGCAAGACATACGAATGAGCGTGGAGGGCAGAAAAAAACAAACAAAAACCCACTGCCATTAAGTTGATTCTGACTCCAAGTGACCCTACAGAACAGAGGGTCTCCCGAGGGGTTGAGTCTGTAAATCTTTACAGGAGCAAATAGGGCTCATCTTTCTTTCAAGGAGTGGCTGGTGAATTTGAACTGCCCACCTTGAGATTAGTAGTCCAACTCTTACCCCAACAGCACCCCCAGCTGGTAGCTGAAAGACAGTACTCAAAAACCCAAACTCACTGGTTAAAATTAAGTCAATGACAAAAGCACAAATATTTTATGAGACAACTCTTACAAAAAGGAAAGGCAAGGTTTACACACAAAAAAGATGCCTTCTTCAATGGTTACCAAGAATGGGATGTAGAGAGAAGGTAAGTCACTAACTAGAGAGAAGAAACAGTCACTTGGGTGAAGGGAGGGCAGCACAGCATGATCAAGGCAAAGGCAGACACTGAGAAGTGTTGAAGGATAAAGGACAACAAAGGCAAATGTATTACTTGCAGAATCCTGCATTAATAGTAATAACAAACTACAATATCTTTGAGGAAATCCAGATAAGACCTGTAGTTATCAGATGTGAGCTGGCAAACGGGAACAGGCATGAGCACACAGAGGGGAGACCACAAGGACTGCGGCTGAGGCTCCAGTTCATAGATGCGCGGGTTCATTCCAAACAAAACGTGTCCCAACGTGTCTCTGTGCTGGCTTTCCCGCCTCATCCGGCGTCTTCAAAACAAGCCCCCATCAAAAGTGCTTCCCGGACCCAAACAGGTCTGCTGGATTAGTCAGCTCAGAAGGACAGAGCAACTACTTTTAGGGATTCCCAAGGAGTAATCTGGATAGTTTTTTCACATAGTGCAATTACAGGGACTTGCTAGGGAGAAGTTTTCATAAAACGGAAAAGTGCATTGGTGAGAAAAGGCAAGGAAAAGTTACTCTCATGATAGCCCCCTCCATCATGTTCACACTCATTCTTTATGTGTACCAGGGCTGTCCTGTAAGAACGGCACGCGTCATCACCTGAGGCTTGCAGACCTTGCCTTTTTAGACTTCATTCTGTCCCCCAAATTTAAGCAACATTGAAACGGAACACAACCCGAGTCCCTAGAATAGGCCCAAAATGCCATTTTGATGTGGTGTAAATCAAAAATTATAAAAGTCTTCAGACAAAGGCTGGAGACACGGAAGTACCACCTTCATTCATCCACACACCTAGATGGGAGGATATGTCAAGAAACAATAACTTCACATTTTGATCTTTTTTGTTTAATATGGGCGTCTGAGTTTTAGCAATACTTTTCTACTTATCCTCATATGTGTGTATTATACATATATCTATTACACATACACGCAAAACCTTCAAAAAGTTCATGGAAAAGTTCCTTCTAATTCCATTTTTTCACAATTTTTTGAAGCCCCCTTGTGAGTGTACGTGTGTGTGGTCGGTGTGAAACTATGTACAATGTTACTACATATATACTTCTAACTCCTTAACAAAGTTATAAAAATGTCTCAACATGGTATGTCCACATCAGGTCACAGGCTACCCCTGGGAAGGAAAGGAGACTTTTATCTGTATCTATAATGTAGTATTTCTTACACATACAGCAACATATTTGAAATCTTTGTTTAAATATTTAAAAAATGTTATTCTAAGATTTCATCGTTTACATAATGCAACAAAACCATTTTATTACTAGCAGCACACACATGTATAGTAACCTTATTTTCATTCATTTTATTTTACCCACTTGACCATTGATTTATATACCTGAGATGCAACAATCTTTTGACAACTATCAATAAATCTTTTTTCATGAACTTGCAGAAAGGCCAGAGCTGGTAATCAGTCCTGTCCCTCTCTCTCCCTGCTCTCTTGAGCTCTGTGGTGCACCCTGTGGTCAGTCCCCAGATGAAGTCTCACTGGAGCTGCTCTTTGAGAGCAGAGGCAGTCAATTCTGTGATCACTCAGGCGTGCATTCCACTTAGTTGGGGAGTGGGAATGAAATAACTCCAGGCCAAGCAATGCCCACATGTTCCTGACCACTACGTTTCGGGAACAATGCCTTTACGTCAGGTCACACACTTAGACGGTGACTGATAATACAAAAGGACAACAGAAATGAACTCTTGGTGCTTCAGATACATTTCCTTACACTCATTCAGGCTTGCCCTGAAGTCTCCCCAGAAAACTCTGTGTCCACAAAGAGCCACAAAATATTGCAAACACCTCAGCTGGCTGCCACGGAGTCCGTTTCAACTCTTGGTGACCCCACGGGCCAGTGCAAAACTGCTCTGCAGGCTCTTCACAAGCTGACCTTTCTGAAACAGAGCACCACACCTTTCTTCTGAAGTGCCTCTGGGCGGACTCTACCTTCCAGCTTTTCGGTTAGCAGCTGACTATTACTGCCTGTAACACCCGAGGATGATGCATGGGACACAGCTCCCCCCACCCCCACTCCCGCCCCCAAGGAAAAGTCAGCCTTATGCCAGCGAACCTCCTAGCCTAAGAAAAGTGGGTCAAATGAGAAATGCCTAAATTTATCCACAGAACAACCCAGTGGCACTCTTGAGGCGTTATAAATCAGAGTGGTGAACTGTCCCGTTAAGTATTTGCTTCCTCCTCCCTCCCTTTTAAAGAAATAAACTTTTTATTATGGAATGGTTTTAGACAAGTCTAGTTTCTCCTGTTAACATTGTCCACTACTACAGCACATTTCTCAGACACAAGGAATAACTGTTGGCATGCTAATACATGTAAAGCTCATTCTTTATTTGGATTTCGTTCATTTTTACCCAATGTCTTTTTTCTGTCCCAAGACCCCATCCAAGCTCTCACATTAGTCATTATAGCTCTTTAGGGTACTCTAGAGCAGTGGTTCTCAACCTTTTAATGCCGCGACCCTTTAATACAGTTCCTCCTGTTGTGGTGACCCCCCAACCATCAAATTATTTTTGTTGCTACTTCATAACTGTAATTTTGCTACTGTTCTGAATCAGGTGACCCTGTGAAAGGGTCGTTCGACCCCCAAAGGGGTGGAGAATCACTGCTCTAGACCATGACAGTTCTCTGGACTCCCCTTGCTTTTTGAAGAACTCGAAGAATCTGGAGTACTGAAGAGGTACTTCAGAGAAGGTTCCTCTGGTCAGCCTTGCTCCATGCTTTTCTCCTGATGAGACTCGACGGTGGCATCTTGGGAGGGACACTCTAGGGGTTAAGCTCATCACACTGCACTATCAGCATGATTCACAGCTGCTGACGCTGACCTGGATCACCCGGATGAGGGGAGGTTACTCTTCCCCCCCTCCCTCCCACACCACCCATTTCGGACAGTCTCCTCTCTGTGTAGACCATATGTAGGGTGTGAGAATTATAATCCAGGTCTGTGAGAGCAGAGAACAAATTATTTAGAGTTCATCTGTCCAGGAAATGTCTCTTCTTGCCTATTTATTTATCATATCAATCTATGTAATAATGGCTTGTGGTTCTGCTGCGGCAGCCATCGAAGAGTAGAGGCCATGGCT